GTTATATATGTCTATATATTTTCATATACATTATATATATAATACATTCTACATACAGTTTTTTCTTTTAGGAAATGCTCATTAATCTGTAGTGACATGTAGATCATTCCTTGTCTGGGATGGGATTGGGGTAAGAGGGGAAAAGTCATGAAGGATGGACTACAAAGGGACATAAAAAAACCTGATTGTAATCTTCATTATGATGTTAGTTTTGTAAGGGTCAAAATTATCAAAGGGTCAAAATTATCCAAAAAAATTATCATTTTTTTTAAAATGTGGAATTTAGTACACTTTAATTATATCTCAGTAAAGCTGAATAATCCAGCCAGTCAGTACTGACTTGAAATGCTGTCTTTATTTGATACTAATTTTTCACATGCAAATGTGTATGTTCCTAGAGCTTCAATTCTATTAACAATGTATTTGACTTTATATTTCTATATTGATACCAGGCATTAAACAGTGTCTCTCTCCAGAAGTCACCTGTAAAAAGCACTGCATTGCTTCATACACCTTGATAAGCTGACTTCAAGTGGAATAGTATTGAGCTCTGAAAGGCACTCAATCCCTACCTTGGCCTCACTTTTAGTCACCTACACTCATGTTTTAAACACTAATATGTTTTCTGTTTCAGAGGGTTTCCTGGCATTTTACTGGGCATGAATTTACCAATAGAACAGCCATGCACTATTTCATACTTGCTAGTCATGAGTGTAGATCATTTTGCTTATAATTTTTCCACAAGAAAATAAGACCTCTAATGAAGTACCATGCCCCATAGAGAAGCAGTATATTTCCTTGCCAATAATCATATTTACTCTATGGGTAGCTGTGCAACACTTTTTCTAGGGAAAGTAGGATGCATGGATGCAAGTTAGAGGTATTTTTGCCTTATAGTTAGGGGCCACTTAAGTAGAACTAAAGTGTCTGTAGCAAAATTAGTGCATTTAGATCAGCATTTTCCTGCTTTGCATATGTGAGTGTATCTTGTAGACCTGCCATCTTCAGAATGCCTACTTTTCTTGAGTGAAGCGATATTCCTGTGATATGATACATGTGGCTGCATTTTATTGATGCACTATTGGGAGAATTAGTGTTTATGATGAAAAGCTTAAAATAATTTAAAGTAGGCCTTCCCTGGTGATGCAGCGGGTTAAAGCACAGCATTAAGAAGCTGAAGCCTCTTCCGCATGAGTTCAATTCCCGCCTGCCCCGGAGGTAACCACATGGTGTGGCAGACCTCTCCTGACCCGCCCCCTGCTCCCCTCAGCAGTGTACTTCGTCGATCTGCCTGTTCTGCTCCCCACTCTGTCTCCGGTGAAGCCTCTCACTGTCCCTGCACCTCTGGCCTCTACTCCAGTTCTGTATGCCCAAATAAATTTTTTTTTTTTTAAAGATTTATTTATTTATTCGTACAGAACTGGGGTACAGGCCAGAGATGCAGAGGACTCACCAGAGACAGAGTGGGGCACAGAACAGGCAGATCTACGAAGTACACAGCTGAGGGGAGCAGTGGGCGGGTCAGGAGAGGTCTGCCACACGATGTGGGTCTCCTCCGGGGCAGGCGTCGAACTCATGCGGAAGTGGCCCAAGCTTTTTTGTGCTGTGCTCTAACCCGCTACGCCACCAGGGAGGGCCGACAAATGAATAAATCTTAAAAAAAAAAAAAAAAATCAGTAGTTTATCTCCCTTGTTACATGCCTTTCCTATAAAAAATAATTAAAAGTATATAAATTACATTATTACCAGTTTAAAGTAATTAACATTTATGAAAATACTAGAATTTTATCCTAACCACTCTTACTTGTGCACAGAACCTCATAAACTGCAGGGGGAACTGTAGATGTTTGTTTCTACAGTTTTTAAAATCAGATAGCTATAAGTCTGATTGATAAATCAAACTAGATAAAGAATCCTATAAATACCAAAAGAGAATTGGCAGGGGATCATTTTATCTGTAGGTTCTGTCAGCCTCAGGCTGGAAGAAAAGGAACTATCTTGTATAACTTTTTTCTCCCATAGTTTAATATCTGTTTGAAAGAATACAAAAGCTGTTTTCATTGAATTGTTATTCATCCCTTTAAACAAATACCATTCTTTGTCTCTGACAGTTCTGAAATGGCATCATTAGGGTACTTTTTGTTTTTTAATCTATTTTGAAACTTGTTTATAACATGATCTTAATACTTAAAATCTTATAAACTGATGTCTTTATACTTATTCAATTGCTACTGCTAGATCCTCTGCTTTTGTTTAATTTTCATTCTTAAAACTGTGTGGTGTTTGTTAGGTATCTGGACACAAGTTCCGCATCAGGTAGTATGATCTTTACATAATTGTTGATCCAGTTACTTTCTTTTTCACTCATTTAGGGCCTTGAGGAGGGGTTTTGTTTGTTTGTTTAAATGTTTGAATGGTGACATCTGAAGGGAGGGAATTAGAATTTGTTGTACGAATAAATGTTGGTCAACATGGATATAAACTATCCTTAGTTTTTCTGTTGTTCAGACGACATTGCAATTAAAAATGCAAGTGCTTTTGGCTCTTCCATGACAACTAACTAGTTAAGTAACCTCACTTAACTATCATTGAGTGAACAACTCCAGACTTAAAGCTGAAAATGTAAGGAAAAACAATAGAATTGGAAATAAAAGTGAAATGCCTTTAGTATCAAGCACCACATGTACAGAGCATGTCTAAAGGTGTAGGAGCTACAACAAACCTCTCCAGTTAAATGATACCTTGTCATGCCTTTATTGTCTGCAGCATTCTTTCATCAAGCTGAATTCTATTTCACTCTCTACCTGACATATGAAGAATTGACAACAAAGTCTGGAACAGAAATATTTTCAGTTGGAAGAGGTCCTGTTCCCCTTCACCACCCACACCCAACTGAAATGAAAACTTAGAAATGTTTTGCTTTGCGCTCCTTGACTTTTCTTCTCTAGAGTCAGTGAGCAGGGGTGTTACTTTGTAGTGGCTTGACCGAGAAGGTCTTTCACAGAACCTGAGTTTACTCTCTTCGCCTTTCATTTGCTAATAAAACATTGCAGTCTGAGTTGCTGCCAAAATGGAGGTTGTTGGGAACCTATGAGATCAATAGTAACTTTGTTTATTGGTTTGTTTATAAAAATAACTTTCCTGATTGTAATATAATTCATAATTACAGAATGTTGTTTAATTTTGTGTACATGCACAAAAATAATGCCTTGGAAAGTATAAATCCTAATAGCACTATTAATGTTTTGATATATAACTTTCTAATCTTTTTTCTTGTACATATATATAATGTGTAAAAAAATAAATTCCACTTTTCCAGCTAAAATAAATTATAAATAACTTATTAACTATGTATTTGTTGAACAACACCTATGCAGTATTGTGTTTGATCTATTTACAGATATTTTATGAGCATTCTTCTACATCATCCACTACATATGTCCTGCTTTAGATAAATCGGTCCAGTGTGGTTAAGGGAATGTGCGATTTGAGAACTATAAGGAAGAGAAATGGCCTTCAGAAGGCCTGGTGTGGTTTTAGTCAGGCCACCATATGGTATTATGTTCAAGGCTTGGTCAGGGAAACCCATCTTGTTTTTATGCAGCATGACAGAGTTTCTGGGCCTGTTATCAAGGACTGATAGGAAGGTAGGAAGAATGGGAAGATATAATTTGAAATTCAACTCCAAATCATATATTAAATTAATATTGTGATAAAAAAGAATGATTGACTTACCATGTCAGTGTGGGCCTATTTAATTACAAAGATATTAGAGTGCTTCTGGATCAAATATTGTAGCTATCCAATTTTCCCAAAGATTTGGAAATTTCTTCTAACACCAATTTTTTTTTAAAGTTTATTTTTACATCATTTTGCATATTTTTTTTCATCTCCATTGTAATCCCCACTGGTTTCCCATCACCAAATCACCCCTGTGCCACCACCATAGTCCCGTGCATTTCCATCCCTCCCACCCCCCCGTTTTTGATCTAACACCAATTTTAATTATGTTTTTCTTTAGGTAATTCCTGGATACCTTAAAAAACAAACAAACAAATAAACAAAAAAAGACTTCTAAACTTTCTATCTCTATCCAATTCCTACTTCAAAATATTCCATACATTAAACCTAAAATAATTTTTTTAATCCAACACTTGGTCTATACTTATAGTTGAGCAGACCTGGCTCTTCCTATCATTTGACTTACAGTGTAGAATAAGAGAGGCAGTTAAATAAATATGTAACTATAAGGAATGTTTGAAGAGGACTTCCCTAGTGGTGCAAATGGTTAAGTCTCAGCACTATGAACTTATAAGCAGTACTGCTGCATGAGTTTGTTCCTTGGCCAGGGAGCTAGTCCACATGGCACATCACACCTGTTTCACCTGCTGCTCCCCTCAGCAGTGTATTTCAGTGGATCTGCCTGCTCTGTTCCCCACTGTCTCTGTTCCCCCCCCCATACCTCTGGCCTGCACCCCAGCTCTTATATATAAAAAACGTTCTGGGATGAAGAGTAAATGACAGCAATCCTTAGATTAACTGAACAAGGAAGATCTCTTTGGGAACGAATATCAATACATTAGCTAAGCCTTGAGGAATGAGAAGAAGATATATAAAGAGGCAGAACATTTCCCACAAAGGGAATGGTGCTGTGGAGGCCTGGTGCGAGTAAGTATGTCTTAGGGGCTGATGCCAAAAGCTGCTGGAGAACAATGAGTGTCTAGGGAGTGGCCTTAAAAGAGGTGGACTTCAAGGTAATTATGTTGCGTGAAATGTGTCAAAAAGTGAAAGACAGAAATAAATGGTTTCACTTATCTGTGGAATATAAATAACTTAGAAACATTTATACACAGAACATAGTAGGAATAAAACCTACTATGGGTAGGGAATGGGGGAGGAGGCAGGTGGGGTATAGGCACAGGCAGTTTGGTAGAATGAAAAAAAAAATTACTTGATTGGTGAAAGGGAGAATTTTAATTTCATAGAAAACTTTCATAAAAAAGTTACTGAAACATCTTTAAAAAAACAGGTGGTAGATATGGGTGGGACTGTGGGGGCTAGAATCATGTCATACACAATGCCTTCAAGTCCATGATAGGAAGCTTGGGTTTTATTTTTTTCCCAAAGAACTTACAAAATTTATTTATTTGCTTTATTATTTTTGCTATCACATAAACATAAATATGTTTTGATTTACCTTCTAGGAACATTAGATTTTTAAAATCAACTTAGCTTTTTAATTGAGATACCATTTAGTACCCCTCCTATCAGGTATCACCACTGTGGGGTTCCTGCCACCAACTTACCCATAGTCCACCACCATAGCCCATTCTGCTTTCTTCCCTCTGTTTTTAACCCTCCCCACCCCTGCTACTTCTAGCTGGGTTTATAATTGGTTTTCAAGGGTTATTTTTTAAGTTTGCCTTTTTAAAATATGGCTTCTCTATATTCCATGTATTAGTGACACCATGCAGTATTTATTATCTTTCTCCTGACTTATTTCACTTAGCATTATCCCTTTGAAATCCATCCATGTTGTTGCAAATAGCATGAGTTTATTTATTTATTTATTTATTTAGATTGCTGAATAACATTCCAGTGTGTGTGTGTACCACATCTTGATCCACTCACTCATCTGTTTATTTGGCACTAAAGTTGTTTCCATAGCTTGAAAGTTGTACATAGCGCTGCTTTGAATATTTTAGGTGTAGGTTTCTTTTCATATTAGAGTTTTTGTATTTTCTTGGTAGATACCTAGGAGTGGAAATGCTGGGTCATATGGCAGATCCTTTTTTAGACTTTTGAGAAATTTCCACATTGCTTTCCACAGGGACTAAACTAGTTTACATTCCCAGCAACAGTGTAGGAGAGTTTCTTTTTCTCTACTTGTTTGATTTACAGGTTTGAGCTACTAATCATCACTATCTTTACACCTATAGCCGTCCAGTAGTGCACCCTGACTCCATGCATCACTTCTCTACTACAGCCCCTGGTTTTCAATGAAGGCAAATGCCCTTGAATTAACGGTAGCAGAAAGGTTACATGTGGAAGCTACTCCTCCCACTCTTGGTTATATTGACCTAGTATCACTCCATGCACAATTTAATTATCATTTTTCCTACCCCTTTCCACTGTGCTGTCACTCCTGTAGTATATGATAGTTATCTGCATATCTTTCAGAAGTTGTCTTGTTTTACTTGAGACTTGGTTATAAGTACATGGGGGAGGTGAGCCCAGCACCTTTGCTCTGCACCATCTTGCCAGATCTATAAATTATCTTTAATGAAATAAATTAACTTATGATTATTTTAATGAATATAATTTAGTAAATAATTACATAAATATATTTAAAGTATTCTAATGATCATATGCTACATCTTTATACCTTAATCAGTAGCCACTTAGGTTGTTTCCATATCTTGCCTGTTATGAACAAAGCTGTAATGAACATGGCAGTGCAGATATCTCTTAATTTCATTTCCTTTGAATATATATACAAAGGGATATAAGCATTGAGAAGAAGACTGCTAAATTATATGGTAGTTATAGTTTTAAAATTTGAGGAAGCACCATACTATTTTCCATAGTGATTGTATACCATGTTATATTTCCACCAGGAATGTACAAGGGTTCCCTTTTCTCTATATCCTCACCAACATTTGTTTTCTCATGTCTTTTGATAATAGCCATTCTAACAGGTGTGAAGTGGTGTTTAATTTTTGTTTTGATTTGCATTTCCTGATGATTAGTGATGTCAATCATCAATTTTTTTTGACAATTGCCATCATTAGAAAAAATGCGTACTTAGGTTCTCTGTCCATTTCTTTCTTTCTTTTTTTTAAAGTGATTGATTTATTTCTGCAAACAGAACTGGGGTAGAAGCCAGAGGTGCAAGGGCAGTGAGAGGATTCACCGGAGACAGAGTGGGGAACAGAACAGGCAGATAGACGAAGTATACTGCTGAGGGGAGCACCTGATGGGTCAGCAGAGGTCTGCCACACCATGTGGATCACCTCCGGGACTGGGGATTGAATGTACTGAAGCGGCTGCGGCTAGCTTACAGTGTGCTGTGTTCTTACCCATTGAGCCACCAGGAAGGGCCCATTTTGTAATCACATTATTGAATGGTGTGTATATATATATATTTGCTGTTGAGTTGTATGGGTGCCTTATATATTTTGGATATTAACTGCTTGTCAGATATATAATTTAAAAATATTTTCTTTCAATTTTTAGGTGCCCTTTTCATTTTGTTGATGCTTTTGATTGCTGTGTGTAGAAACTTTTTAGTTTTTTGTAGTCCCACTTGGTTATTTTTGCTTTTGCCTTTACTTTCAGTAAAAAGATGATTTTGAAGACAGCCATCAAAGACTCAACTGCCTATATTTTCTTGTAAGAACTTTATGGTTTTGGATCTTACAGTTAAGGTTTTTAATTCACTAAGCTGATATCACTCAAAGAGGAGAATTTTAAGGTAGGAACATAATTTCTAGCAGCAGTAAAATAGAAGTGTTACTTAAAAATTTGAGAATAGTTTTGAGGGATAGAGAAAAGATTCCTGGATTTACACCTAATTCCTTTAGTTTATTGCGGAGACTTTTAGAGATAAGCCTATACTTATAAAATATACATGGTCATATATTCTTGTATTATTTAAACCTACATTGTAACATAAAATACATACTATTGTTTTATCTTGACATTTTATAGTTTAGGAATTACTTTTTTGTTAGTACATAAAGAGGTGCTTCATCATTTTTTTTTTTTAAAGATTTATTTATTTGTGCATACAGAACTGGGGTACAGGTCAGAGGCTCAGGGGCGGTGAGAGGCTTCACCGGAGACAGAGCGGGGAACAGAACAGGCTGATCGACGAAGTACACTGCTGAGGGGAGCAGCGGGCGGGTCAGGAGAGGTCTGCCACACCATGTGGTCACCTCCGGGGCAGGGGGGAATCGAACTCATGCGGAAGCGGCTTTAGATTCTCAGTGCTGTGCTTTAACCCGCTGCGCCACCAGGGAGGGCCGCTTCATCATTTTTAATGACTTTTGTGTGAATGTATCAACATTTCTTAAATTAGTCTTAACTGATGGATACTTAATCTACTAATATTAAAATCATCAAGAATATCTTTATCATTTTCATATGTACAACATCTGTAGGACTTATTTTTATAGGTAGAATGGAAATAAGCACAGAATATGAGGATATTAAAAAAACTAAA